TACAAATATAAAGTCAAAACAGTGAGGAATAGTTGTAAAAATCCCCTAAGGGTCCAAAACAGTTGGCACGAGGCCCAAATATGGCATTCAGCCCAAAACACGATAATACTTTCCAAAACACAATGATATCAAACAGTTTTCAATCAAATACACGATTTAACAGTCATACAGGACGAACTAAGTCACAATCCCCAACGGTGCACGACCACATACTCGTCATCTAGCGTGTGCGTCACCTTAAAGTAGCACAACAGTGTGAAATTTGGGGTTTCATACCCTCAGGACAACATTTACTATCATTACTTACCTCAATCCGGATGAAATTCTACTCCGCAATGCCCTCGCCTCTCGACTCGGCCTCCAAATGCTCCGAATCTAACCAAAATCAATATATTATCATCAATATACGCTAAAGGAATGAATTCCTTATGAAAACTATCAAATTAGACAAAAAATCCCGAATTTAGCTCAAATCCGGCCCCCGGGCCCATGCTTCGAAATCCGATGAAACTCACAAAATCCGACAACCCATTTAACCACGAGTCCAACCATACCAAAATTACTAAATTCAGATAACAATTCGGCCTCCAAATCTTCAAATCTTATTTTCAAATCCCTAGATCCAAATCCCTAATTTACACCTCAAAAACATGTAATCTAGTCGGATTATTCGATGATAATTCAATATTATGGAGTAGAAATGATCACAAGTGACTTACCTCAAGATTTCCTATGATTTCTTGCTCAAAAATCGCCCTAAGTCGTGTTCTTTCACAAAAAAAAATGTCAAAATGAGCTTAAAAAATAGAACAACATTAATAAACCCAATTCTGATCGCTAAAAGCCATTTCCAATCGCTAAAAGTGGTCCAATCTGGCCGCTAAAGGTGCACACCAGATCTGATGCACCAGCAGTCTTTAATTTCACTAAAAAGGTTCTAACTCTATCATACGGACTCGGAATTCGATGATTCTTGTTCCTAAGAGTTACAATAATAATACAAACATAGTCCTTCAATCGAAACTCAATTCGGAGCTCATTTGCTTAGTGCGATACCCATTTAGTTGTTTAAACAATTAACTCATGATTCGCGTCAAAAACCCACTCACAACTTGATAAAATTAGACCAAACTTTCCAGATCACTCCTATAATTCATTATCAAAATTTCGGAAGTTTCGAAATCAAATTTCGATCTCTATAACTAAAAATGGACCTTTGGATCATTACATGCTTATGCTCAAAACGCCAAAATCTTCCAAAACCTCTTCCAAAACTTATCCGAGCCTCATGGGACCCCGACCAAATATGCCAACACACCCCATAACATCATTCAAACTTGTTCCAACCTTCGGAACGCTCAAAACAACATCAAAACATCGAATCACCCTCAGATTCAAGCCTAAGAATTCCAAAACTTTCGAATTCCGAATTCGATCAAAAAGTCTATTAAACATCGCCCGAATGACCTAAAATTTTGCACACACATCACAAATGAAACAACAGACCTACTCCAATTTCTAAAATTCCATTCCGACCCCGATATCAAAATTTCCACTGTCGACCAGAAAACGCTAAATTTTCAATTTCGCCAATTCGAACCTAAATCTACCACGGACCTCCAAAATACATTCCAGACGCGCTCCCAAGTCTAAAATCACCTAACAAAGCTAACCAAATCATAGAAATCCAAATCCGAGATCGGTTACTAAAAAGTCAAAACTTGGTCAAACTTTTCAAACTTAAAGCTTCAAACTGAGAATTGTTCTTCCAAATCTATTCTGATTTTCCTGAAAACCAAAACCGACGATTTATCATAATACATCGCACGGGACTAGTCATGCCCGAGAACTAGCGAGCGAAGTGCAAAAACTCAAAACGACCGATCGGATCGTTACAAAACCTTAAACCAATAAAAGACTTGAAAATATATACTTTTCCTAATGATTCCTGATGTAAACAAAAAAAAGAAGAAGATAAAAGCTCCAAAACAAAAACTTCCTAATATTTTCAAAATATGGAAACTAACTAAAAATAAAAAGTATAACTTCGAAACTTTAAAAGAATTCAAATATATGTGGAGAATGAACTCTCCAAAAGACTGTGGTATCTTCCATCAATTTCTTCGGTTTTCTAAACATTTTAATATTGATAATAAACATAATTAAAAAGGAATTAGAAATTAGAAGTACTTTTAGTATAATACTTTTACAAATGATATTTAACTTTTAAGATGCATAATAAATGTGAAGAGGTAGTACAAGTTTGCAGAACTTTTTAGAGCAACTTATGCCAAAAAAATACAAGCAAGAAAATAGGTAATAGTTCAAAATCCGGATCCAAATGTTGCACATAGAAAAAAATTGAATATCACTATAATTTGAACTATGTGCACTTAGAGAGGAAAAATACAACAAAAAGCAAAACAAATCTTCACATATTTGAATATTATAACTTCAAATCTTACCAAGTGTATTGTAAATTTCGCACGGAATACATATGAGATTGCTATGTAATACTTGATAAGAGCTTGACTTTCATCCAAGCCCTGAACTTTATCTATTTATTTTCTTAAGATATCAATATAACGATTTGGACTTGTGCTTGGTTGGCACACGTTGACAAGTATAGCGTTTTAAACTTGAACTTCGATTCTAGATTTTGATTTGTACTCTACAATTAATGAAATACTTTTATATTTTTGTACATTAATGTGTTAGAGATATTTAATTACTAAAGGGTGTAAAAGTTCATCAATATTTTAGGGATATTTTAATCGTTCAACATTTAACATAAATTGTTTGTACTTTTATAATAAATATAGATAAATTTACCATATATTTTTAAAATTTATAAAAGGAAGCCAATCAGTTATTAGACCTATGTAACACCAACAACTATCCTCCATCTGATTGAGGGGCCTTGAACTATATTTTGACATCCACTGTCGAGATCTACAATTTATACTTTTACCTAAATGAGCCACTACAGCTTCTATTAGAGATTGTTCATACAGTTAAACAGTCAGCATGTTTGATTGTTTGTTTCAAGTAGGATAATTAAGTCAGGGTGGTTTTGGTATTTTTTACAAATTGTGGGTATAAATCATGTTTCATGATTTTGAAAAAAAATACATCCAAATATGTTGCAAAAATTATAACCAAACACAACTTCATCTTCAAATCAAATTTTAGTGAAATTTCAAATTTGGAAAAAAAAATCTTGGAATTTATGTCCAAACGTCTACTTAATACTCCCTCTGTCTCATAATATGTGTCGTAATTCTCTTGTGCAAGCCACTTAAGAACGAATAATTTTTGACTACTTTACCCTTATTAAATATTTTCTCAATGTGTCATCTCTATCAATGACATTATCCATATTTTTACTAAATATGAATGCAATTGATTATTAAGGGTAAAAAAGCAAAAATATAATTAATTTTGTCTTGAACTTCTAAAATAACAAGTAATTTGAGACAACTATTTTTAGTAACTAGGGGTGTTCACGGTTCGGTTTGACCAGTTTTTTATTAAAACCAAAACCAAACCAATTTAATCAGTTTTTAAAATTTTAAAACCAAAACCAAACCAATTTAATCAGTTTTTAAAATTTTAAAACCAAAACCAAACCAAATTACATACAAACCATCGATTTGGTTGTTGTTGGTTTGGTTCGGTTTTTCGGTTCCTAGTAAGCTAATGATAAGCCGATAATAATAAAATAACACTAGACAACAATTTGAAAATAATTTGCTAAATTTATGCTTTTTTATATATTTATTTCGGAACTGAAAGTTTATTTACCTGTTTATACGGAAAAAATGAACACAAAACAAACTAAAAGTTTACTTTCTCAAGCTTTAGCTACTATAGTCTTGCAATTTGAGTTTTCTTTCTTTACTCTTGTCGTAGGTTTTTTTTCTAACTCTTTTATTAGGAAAAAGTATGTGTGTAGGTTAGAGAATTTGATTCTCTTAAGAAAAAAAAAATTGGCCGATTCTTATTCTTTTGGGCTTAGGCAATCTTTTAAAATATAAGTAGGATAAATCAAAATTAAAAATAATAATTAAAATGCATAAAGTATTTAAAATTATTTACGAAAAGATATTATATCATATATCAATAATTATTAATATTTTTATATAATTAATCGATTCGGTTCGATATTTTCGGTTTTTTATAATAGAATCAAAACCAAACCAAATATTATCAATTTTTAAAATTTAAAACTAAAATTAATCCAAATCAAAAAAAATATCGGTTTGGTTAAATTTTCGATTTGGATTGGTTTTCTGTCCAACAGTGAGCAGCCCTATTAGTAACCATGACACATGTTACTAGAATGAAGGAGTATCAAGTGGAAACATTTTTGGTCTTATCATGGCTTTGTTTATTCTTATTACTTTGTCGTTCCTAACTCACACTTTTAATGCAACTCTTGCCCATTGAATGATAGTTTAAGCATTAAGCTTCTTTTGTCCTTTCTTTATTTTTATTTCTATTTTAACCATACATGTTATAATTTTGTGAAATGTACTCCCTCTAAATGGACACAAATATTAAACATTCAAATTATTTCTCATCTACACGGCATAAGATCAGTATGTCATTGAAGGATGTGAGGGAAAGATTGAGATTCCTTCATACTTAACTAAATGTATTGTATTAGAGTTCTGCAAATAGAGAACTTTCCGGTAAAGAACACTTTAAAGTTTAATCCCTTAGTGGACTTAGCAATATGAGTTTAAATTAATAATCAAATAAATTTTTATTATCAAATAATATTATTAAAAAATATTAAAGTATAAGGAAGCATAAGGAAGAATCAATGCTCAAGGAGAAAACAACATCCTAGTGTCGGTGCATTGATAGAGTGTAAAGAAGAAAATACTTTAGGAGGTAAATGACTTTCACAATAGTTAAAGGGCTGCAAAGTGCAAAATGACACAATATGTAAACGTCATCGTATACAAAGGAAGAATGAAGTCACTTTTTTCGCACCGTTGCAAAAATTCAAAGTGATAAAGACGTCCAATTCAAAATCAAATTCCAGTAAATCTTCAAACCCCTAATAATAATACCCAAAATATTTCCCCGCCAACACCACCCACCCATATGGCACTTTCTACCCAGCCACCACCGCTAGATCCTCCGTCAACCACCACAACAACCACCATAACCACTAGCACCATAAGACCAATTATCCCAAACCCTATAAGACCACCCACCCCTCAACCTAAACTGCACCCTTTTTCCCTCCAATCTTCTCACTACCCACCTACCCAAAACCAACCACCTCAACGCCTACCACCCCTCTCCAATCCTAATTACTCTCAATTAGTACCAAAACCTCCTAACAATCCCGACCCACCACATCATCTTCAAGGCTTTCTCTACCCAGTTGCTTCCTCCGGCCGCGGCTTTTTGCCCAAACCTAGTTCTAGTAATTACCCCAATCGGCCCGTTGTTGGCTCTCGACCACCTTTTGGGCTCAATCATATGGATCCGGGTTCAGTTCCGACCGCTGGTGCGGGTGTTAGACCGACCCATTTGCAACACTCCCTTGTTGGGTCGTCTCCTACTGCCAATTCAGCTGTAATTAATGGATTTCCAGTTGTCACTTCTTCTTCGCATCCTAAGGTTCTTTTTCTTTTCGTAATTTTTGTTTTATGCTCACTTTTATTAGCTTGATAATTGACATTGATTCTTGGTATGGAGAGATCTCTGCCATAAAAGAGAGCTCCTAAATGCATTGTATTACTATCTTGTCATGTAGCTTAATCCGTTAAAAAGATTTGCCTATTCTGAAACGGGCATAATTTCTTACAGAAGCTCTTTAAATTAGTTGTGATTAACTGAAGAGTTGAGAAGTGATGTCCCCAAATATTTGCTACAACTAACAGTAGATTTTATTTAAGTGATTAGATTTCTGGTATTCGTTATTTGAATATTATGTCGTAACACTTCACCTGGATTATCTCCTAATAGCATAGTGGTTTTCTTTATTTTTAAGAGGAAAGCTTTTACCTGCACCCTTCAATGCTTTGCCATTAATTTACTATGAAAGAGTTACCACAGGAATAACCCTATTGTTATGGAAAGTTCAACGTCTTCATAAAGATAATTTTAATCTTACTCTCGAACCACTATATTAGAATACATGAATAGTTTTACTACATATGCCAGGTCAAAGGAAACAATAACAACAACTACGTCTCAGTCTCAGAACAAGTTGGGTTGGCAATATGAATCCTCATTTATTTCTTTAAGCTCAACTCATATCATCATCATTACAAAAATAAAGTAAAAGTGAGTTATATATATATATATGGATCTTTTTCTTACGCTGTGCCTTATCTTAAGATAAGTCTGCATTGATTTCAAAAATGTGTAGGTCTTTTGAGATAGCTTCCTTCCATGTGATTTTAGGTCCATCACATCCCTTTTTAACATCTTCCCTCACCATAGTTTCACACCTATGGACCAATGCATTTGTAGGTCGATGCAGGACATGACCAAACCATCTCAAGTGACTTTCTCTCATTTTATCCTCAATGTGTGCTATTGCACCTTCTGGCGAATGTGATCATTTTAATATTATCTAATCTTGTGTGATCGCACATTCATCTTAGCATTTGCATTTCTGCAACACTCATCTTGTGGATATGTTGGACTTTAGCAGCCCAACACTTACCATATTAACATAGCCGGGTTTTTTTCCCCTTTTGATAGAACTTTCATTTCATCTTGGTAGGTGTCACAGGTCTGATTTTTATCCGCCAAAACCAGCCTCTGCGGCAGCCATGCCTCACGCCCAACTTCAGCTTTCTCACAACACTCAGCCAAAATTACAACAACTTTGGACTTAGAATATTTTTAGGCATCTTTCAACGTAGTAAGTTTAGAACTGATTTAAGCAACGAATTTAAGTAAAGGCAACAGAAAATAAACAAGGACACAATATACAGGAAACTCTATTCCGAACTTTGTATTTAGCTTGAGCATCCAAAGAAACTCAAACTCGAAGTACAATGCCGTGTACAAGAAGATCACTCTTGACCCTCCGCTTTTCTCGCAAGACTACTCTTAGCCTTAGACGTTTTCACTCTTGAAAACAGACTTAGGAACTCTTTCCTAACTCAAACATGCACTCCCACACGTTTTTCTCTATCTCACAAGCATAAGGGTGCTGCACATTTATAGAACATGTGACAGCCCTTTGCCTTTGCACTTGTCGCTCTTAGGCTTAGACACTTATCCTACATCGCCCACTATTTTAGCCTAGTGTAGTTGACATCCCCCAACTACTAGGATCATGTAGATCATGCTAACATAATGGAAACATGGCTACAAAAACATTCTAGCACAACCTGCCAAATTTGAACAAAAGCCAACCGCCGTCATGTGCACAACATGTGCCTTGTAACTGCCTTTGACTTTGTCAATGCTGGAACATGCTGGCCATGTGTGTGCCTTGGCTTGAATCAGGCGCTAGTGCCTTGTTCTCAAGTGCATTGCAGTCGCATTTAGCCCTTGCCATTGTCCACGCACATGCCTTTGCCGCGCCCAAATGTCATGACAAATCTGCTTTGCGCGCATGCCTTCGTTACACTTGCCTGCCTTTGCCCACTTCGTTTTTGCCTTGCCTTGGCATCACTGCCCCATGCCTTGATGCCTTTGCCATGCCCAAGTGTCATCCTCAGCCCGTATCTCATTGTCAAGCCCTTGCCAAACTGCCTTGCCTCCCTCAAAGCCTCGGCCATCACTTGCCCGTTTTCCCTTTTGCCTTGGTGCTAACTCGTGCACCTTAGCTTGGCAACACTCATGCTGCCCCACGACAACCTATGTTGCTCGCACTCTTCAAATATGTAGCCGGAGAGTCTGCGCAACATAGACGAAACACTCTTGTTGTCAAGTCAAACTCAAAAAGGTGAACCCCTAACAAACCACCCGCACCCTTTGAAACTCGATGTCCTCGTCGAGGTTAGTTTAATTTATGAGTCCTAAGGCGTTGACAAGTAACGCCCCTTGGCCTCCTCTCTCATCAGCCACACAATTGCATTGATCCCAACCACTTATTTGTCACTGGTCATTGCCTCCAATGCAGCCCTCTTATCCGCAACAGTCATTGCACTCAACACTGCCTTCTTTGGGCAGTCTCTTGCTCAATGTGGCCCATCACAAATAAAACAACCACTAAATTTGCTACCTCCAGCCTCTTGCTTTCCTTTCCCCTATCTTCATTAACATTGTTATTTTCACATTTCTTCCACTCCTTTGTCTTGTCCTTCTTTCCGTCGTTGGACTTTGAAGTAGAAGTCTCTTCACCTAAGTGAAAATCACCCAATGCATCTGCCGCAGCCATAGCACATGTGAGGTTTTGAATATTCTGCCTACGCAACTCCAATTGTGCCCACTGTTGCAGCACGCTCATGAAGTTGTGCAATTTGTCTTTTTCCGACATATTGCTTATGCTCAACATCAAAGAAGTAAACTCTTTGACATATGCCCTCACTGATCCGATTTGCGTCAACTTTTTCAGCTTGTCTCTAGCTATCCAAGATGTATTGCTAGGAGGGAATTGATCCTTCAACTCCTTTTTAAGCCACTCCCACGACTCAATCTTTGGTCTGCCCAAACTTTCATCTTCGGCCATACGTGTGCGTCACCATAACTTAGCATCTTCACTCAAATACATGCTAGTCAAGGTTACTTTTTCCTTCTCATCTTGCACACGAATAGTATGAAAGTACTGCTCCATATCCCAAAGAAAATTCTCCAATTCACGTGCACTCCTTGCACCACCAAATGCCTTAGGTTCAGAAGTTTTTACCTTTAGATGATCAACACCACATTGAGGAGCATCCTCGCCCACAGCACGTCGCAACACCACTTTCTCGCTTTTCAGATCCGCATTCTCTTGACTCAGCCTTGCCAATTCTGCCTCAAGGTAGGCAAGCCTTGTCACGAGGGTCTGAAATTCGTCACCTTCAGGGACATTTCCAATCAAAGCCTCCAGTTTCGCTAGCTTTTCCCGCAATTTATTGTTACCACTGGCCATGTTCTCGAACAAGATCACGAAGTCTGCCGCTCTGATACTAGTTGTCACAGGCCTGATTTTTATCTGCCAAAACCAGCCTGTGCAGCAACCAGACCTCACGCCCAACTTCAGCCTTCCGACAATACTCGCCAAAATTACAGCAACTTTGGACGTGAAATTCTTTTAGGAAGCTTTCAACGTAGTAAGTTTAGAACTGATGTAGGCAACGTATTTAAGTAAAGGCAACAGAAAATAAACAAGAACACAAAGCACAATATACAAGAAACGCTTTTTCCAATTTTGTATTTAACTCGAACATACAAATAAACTCAAACTCGAAGTACAATCCCGTGTAAAAGAAGTTCAGTCTTGACCCTCCGATTTTCTCACAAGACTACTCTTAGCCTTAGACGTTTTCACTCTTGAAAATAGACTTAGGAACTCTTTCCTGACTCAAACATGCACTCTCACACGTTTTTCTCTATCTCACAAGCATAAGGGTGCTGCAAATTTATAGAACATGTGACAACCCTTTGCCTTTACACTTGTCGCTCTTAGGCTTAGACACTTTTCCCACACCGTCCCCTATTTTAGCCTAGTGTAATTGACATCCCCCAACTACTAGGATCATGTAGATCATGCTAAGATAATGGAAACATGGCTACAAAAACGTTCTACCACAACCTGCCAGATTTGAACAAAAGCCAACCACCGTCATGTGCACATCATGTGCCTTGTAACCGCCTTTGACTTTGTCAATGCTGGAACTTGCTGTCCATGTGCGTGCCTTGGCTTGAATCAGGCGCCAATGCCTTGTTCTCAGGTCCATTGCAGCCACATTTTGCCCTTGCCATTGCCCACGCGCATGACCCTTTTTCGCGCCCCAATGTCCTGACAAATCTGCCTTGCGCACATGCCTTCGTTGCACTTACGTTGCATTGTGTTGGTCTGGAAATGGAAGAATTGGTGTTGGGTTTGTCTTTTGGAGATAAGACTAAAGCTGTAAAAGATTTGTTGCGACTTTTATATGGGGAAAAATATTTTGTCTATGGCCAAACCTCTTTAGATACAACTACATGTGTTTTCGAGTTTTTAAAAAGATGGAGGATGAAGAAAAAAAAGGAATTTCAAATTGACCGAGAAAAAATAATTTGGGGCTCAATTCATAATTAAGAGAAAGAAGAGGAGAGATAAAGAAACGGGATAAGAGTTTACACCTTGGGACTGGGCCCCGTTTTGGCTCACAAGTTTTGAGATGGCTTGTTTTTTGTTTTCAGAAGAGAACTTGGTTTGTTTTGTGTTAAACAAAATAAGTTGTTTTTTCCTGTTATCTAATCCTAGCAACTCCTCTCTCTGCCCGCGGCTTCTTTTCATTGCTTTGTGGCAGTACTCACCTGCAGATTAAACTGAGTGACGTATCTCAGTAATACAGTTTTGAAATATTAAATGAGATACATTCTTTTAATGTGTTCCATAGACCTATTTTAGCTTTTTCTCACAATTTTGTCACCTTCTGTTGTCTTCTAATCCTGTTTATATTATATTTCCGCATCCAGATTGCTCCTACTCAGCCTTCCATTTCAGATTGTAATGGCTTCAGAGAGGGGAGGTAATGTTGGTTTTGCTTCATCTTGTTTTCCTTATATGTTTGATATGGCATTTCTTAGAGCTCTATATTTTGCGAACGGTAGGGACAGAAGTAAGGATGACACCTTAGCTATAATCAGAGACAGAAAGGTAAGTGTCTATCTTGTCCTTTAGTTTGATTTATGAAATTACTTGCAGTGTTTGTTGTTGTTGATGTCTGACATGATCCTCATTTTTTTTGATGACGGTGATGTCTGGACCAACTTGCGCGCTCCTTGACTATTCCACCGGACATTTGCTACCTCCCACTCGCACAAGTATCGGTAACTCTGCCACTAGGCTTGGGCAGATTAGAAGATATCACCTACTGTTTTTTGCCTCCGCTTGAATTTGAACTTGAGATCTCATGGTTCTCCACCCACTTCATTGACTACTAGGCCACACCCTTGAATTTTTGATAGATGGAAGTTAAAATTATTTCCCATCCTAAAAAATAAGTAGAAAAGAAAAAAAACATGTTAGAGTTTGACTATTTGGCTACTATTTTATCACTTCTCTTTCTTGCAGTTGTGAATATAACTATGTTGCTCGAATTCTCCAAATATGTCGCTGGATGTGTGTCTGATCCTCCATAGTAGTGCATTTTTGGAGGATCCGCAAGGGTGTGGCAACATTTATTGGGAGTCGCACAACATACTATATAATGCTATGTTTAGCTTCCAAAAACGTCATGGAAAAGGCCCTCAATAATGACATTGTTTTGGCATCCTTTCAATCATCACACTTTGTAATCCAGAGGAGGTGCAACGAAATAAAATTTAGTTGTGAATAATTGTTAGTATTGGGAATCGGCCTCAAGAGTGTGACCTAGTGGTCAATGAAGTAGGTTGAGAACCATGAAATCTCATGTTCAAATTCCAGCAGTGGCAAAAACACTAGGTGATTTCTTTTTATCTATTCAAGCCTTGGTGGATAGAGTTACCCGGTACCTGTGCTGGTGGGAGATAGTAGGTACTTCATGGAATTAGTCAAGGTGCGTGCAAGCTAGCCCGGACACTACGATTATTGAAAAAAGAAGTTAGTATTAGGGATTAGGTATTGGATGGATTATCTCTAAGCATTTACGGTATTTGGTAGCCAAGGCCAACTAGTTTGGGATTGCAAGTTGTTATTGATTTGTGGTGTTGGTTCTTTCCCTCCAATGAACTTCTAAAACTTGTTAATCTTTTTTTGATATGTAATGTTTTACTATGCAATTATAAAAGACTTTTTTACGCAGAAATTCTCTGGAATTTTAAATCTCTAATTTATTTCAGTGGTTTTTCCTATTTTTGTTTTACGTGGTAGTCTTGTCTATGGATAGAGATGCAATGTGGCATTATGCGTCTATTTTCTTGATTTACAGCCCGTTACTGATATGAAATTTTTACTTATGTCTGGTGATGGCATTCTTACGGTTTTAATTGGATAACCTAGAGCGTGTGTCCTTTCTATATTAAATTGCTGCTGCCTTGAGATGAATTATGTACAACTTAATTGCAACTAAAAAAGGCAACTACCTTCTTGACCTGACAGAACACCAAGGTTCTCTTATGAGTTTTACCCAATCTCATATCTGTTGTTGATCGTTCGATCTGTGAGGCCGTTTTGATTAGTTCTTCGGCGCACTGGGGATCTTTGTGGTTTTGCATGAGCCTCATTGTAGAATTCACTGCTTAGCTATAGATTAACAAAAAGACGAAATGGGTTTGTTGTCTAGGAGTACTGTGAAAGACGTGCGTTCTACCAAAAGGTTCATTTATACATCTTAAGTGTATATTTCAAGTGAACCCGCTTCCCTTTTGTTTGCTCAGTAGCTACTACTGTGCATGTTTCCTGGAATTCACCTCTCATCTGCAATGCAGTATTGCATATAGCTTAAAGCTATTTAAAAGAGAAAGGTTCTATATCTGCTGATGTTGTTTTGGCTTGAAGGGGCTAACATGAGGTTAATTGCTCCCACCAAAATTTAAAGAAAAACAAAAAGGAACAGCACAGATAAGACGTCTGTGAATCTTGAAGACATTATGCAATTCTATGATTTGGTGTAGGTGCTTTATTTACATCCCATGCCTGATATTTTCTGTATATCCCATGCCTGATATTTTCTGTAGAAACATGTTTTTACTGCATGATGGATACTTTATTTTCTGATGCAGGTCAGAATATCTGATAATGCTTCTCTCTATGCCCTTTCTCGCTCATGGTTGAGGAATGGTCTTCCCGATGAAACTCAGGTTTGCTCAAAAAGAATTGTTATGCATCGCACAAGTCACAAGTGCCTTCTCTTTGAAATATTAATTCTTTCCCACAGTATCTTGAGTGACGTAAGGCTTCTGGCTTGTAGAAGCTCAGTTAATATACAGGCGAACTAGCTGCTTGTCCTTTGTGCAACTAACATGACCTTTTAGATGCAACTTGAGTTGGTGAATAAGAATTGTGAACCATGTCCTCTTGAAAAGCAGCTTCGGGTTTTAAAATTTTGATCTGTTTCTGTAGCATTATTTGCATTTATAAGAATGTCTTTCTTGTTTTTGATCAGTACAGTCTTGCATAAAGATATAAAGTTTTTCCTTAAGGTTGGTCTTGAAAAAAGAGAAGAATGATGTATGTCTTCTTTTCGATTTAATAATCTGCGAATTTTGGGCTTCATTCAGTATAGTTTCATGGTTCCAGAAGCTCCAATCATCTTTCTCAACCTTTAGTTATTACAATCTGGTATTATGAACTATCTTTATCAGTCACTGCATTTCTGAGGTTTTTGGCCTATGTTAACTGTTGTTGGTATATAATTGTCTCAACTGATAAATGTTCAGTTCCACTGACTGGGTGGGTTATTAGGTGGATTTTGTTAAATAGATGCATATGGAACTAGCAAGTGAAAAAGATAAGTGCAACCCTTTTACAGCCTTGTACAGTTCCACATATGCTTATTACTTTGCTTGTTCTTTAAGCACACTCGCAATAGTCAATCCTAGACATATGTGCTTCCCGTAATTCTATTTTGTTTAGATTTGAATGATCGTAATTGACTGCTTTTCAGATAGTCCATAGTTGATATAAATTTTTTTAAGTCGAAGTTACAGTACCCTAAAGATGTGTATATATCTGGTTTTTGAGTACAAATGTCAGTTCTGATCGTGGTGCGCTCACTTCTCTTCAATACTCATACTGATCCTAGTAGTCCAAAAGTTATTCAGGTTCTTTTTTTAAAGAGGTTGGTAATTATTCCTCATTGATGTCAGCATCACATGAATCTGACCAAAAATTCATTCAATTTCCTAACTAGGGCTAATAGTTGTTTTGCTCCTTTTCCTTTCTCTTTTAATTTTTTCTTTTAATAATTTTTTGAGGAAAAGATAGGCTCATGAATTGTAGAGGTAGAGAAGGACGTTTGGTGAAAGTGAAAGTTTGAAATCAGTATCGGATCATGATTTCTCTTGCTACTCTAGCTCTGATTCTTCTCTCATCTTCATTTGTGTATTATTAAATTAATTTTCTTGGCAAAAATGATGCAACTATAGTTTTGAATGAGTTTCTTGATGTGGTGTTTGAATTTTTTCAATAAAAACATTCTAGTTTTAGATGACATTTGCTCATTTTTATGTTTATTTGCTTTACATTTCGTTGGCAGCCGCAATACATGGATGGTGTTAGGTCTCTTCCTAGACCTTTGCCCCTAGCTCCACAAGACGCCGAGTCTCCTGTGAAAAAGGAAGGAGATAAAGAAGAAGAGAAAGAGGTGCGAACATGAGTTTATCTACTTGGGGAGTGAATTTTGAATATGATTCCTGTACCAAAATGATAAAGATGCCTGGTAATAATTCAGCCATTGTTGTTTGCATTGGGGACGTGAAGTATCTAACTCAAATTTAATAGTAAATCAAAGTTTAAAGATGTGTTAAATGAAATCAGGGCGACATTTTTATTACTTTATGTTTAGATTCCCTTTTTTTTTTTTT